GCCCCGCCACTTTGCAATATCATCGTGGAGCGAGGTCACCGCTATTTGGCCGAATGGTGCCCCGCAAGGTCGTCCGCCTGACGAACGCGTAGACTCAGCTAGATGCCTGCGCTACGCGAATTGACAGTATTGGGCGCGCCCGCCCGCGGGGCGCCCGCCAAGACCTGCCCGCCCGCGAGCGCCCATGAAGGTCGGCCCGCCCGCGGCTCGCTCAAACTTGGCATCCCGCCCGCGCCATGGCGGCCAAAGTTTGATCAGCTGCGGGCGCCGCCCGCGGAACCCACCTGCCCCCCCCCCCCCCCGACCGCTTGGAAGCGAACCCGCGCCGTCTCGCCCACAAAATGCTTTCATTTGTCCACCCCCCCCCAACCCCTGCGCACTTCAATTGGACAGCCAATGGCGGGCTGCGCCACCCAACCCCCCTAGAATGCAATGCAAGACATCCCCATGCGCGCGCCCGCCCCGCTCCCCCCCCCCCACTGCCCTCCCCCGACCATCCCCCCGCCCCCTGCCACGCCCACCGCCACCCGCCACGCGCGCCGCCACCACCACCACCACCACCACCACCACCCTTACGTCCCCCCCCCCACCCCCTGGCCCCATCACCACCACCGCCACCACCACCACCGCCACCGCCGACCCACCCACCCCACGCACATCACACACCACACACACACACACACCACACACACACCACCACCAACCACCACCACACACCACCACCACCACCACCACCACCACCACCACCACCACCACCACCACCACCACCACGCGACGCACACACCGCACGCACCACACGCAGACAAGCACAACGCGCCTTCCAGCGTGCGCCCGCGCGCGGGATGGCGAATGGAGCGCGTTCGTTTGAAACGCATCACCCAAAGCTGGCCAACCTCAGGACGCATATCTCGAGATGCCAGCCACGCATGTCATCAACGGCCGCCAATTTATGCCCCCCCCCCCCCCCCCCCCCCCCTCAAAAAAGCGCGTTCAAGGCAGGACGCGCTTCGAAACGCAATTGGCTTACAAACACAACGCCTCTCTCCCATGATTCGCACCCGCGCGCCACGCGGCCCAAGCGAGACCCGCCCGCGACGAAATGCAGCGCGCGTGTTTTACAGCGGGGCGCGGGGCGTCGATAACGGGAGCAGCGATGTCGGGGCGCGGCGCGCGGCGCCGGACATGGGGCGCCTGCTGCGCCGCAGGCTCCCCGTGAGCCGTGGCCGCAAGGACCCCGTGCATTTCCGAAAGTCGGTAGCCCTAGGAGGCCGCGCGCTGCGCGTCGCTGGCAGAAGCACGGGGGCAGCACGATGCCTTGTCAGCGGCGAATCGTCGCCTTTTCGCGCGGGCTGTCGCCACGGCGTTGACGGGCGATGCTCGTCGGGCGCCGCCGCCGACGGGGCGCGCGACACATGAGGCGCGCTGCGCCGCAATCGCGGGCACGCGGGCGGCTGCGCCAAGCACATCGGCGACGGGCCGCGGCAGCGCCAGCGTCGACAAACCGCAATTGAAGCCGCGCCGCTGCGCCCGCGAGAGCCGCGTCGTGGCGCCCGCGGAACCGCCATGGTGAGCGAGGCCGCCTGGCGCGTTTCGCGGGCTGCTGCTACCGCGTCGACAGCCGACAATCGCCCAGCGCGCCCCCCTTGGACGCAACGAACTGAGGCAACGCATCGCCGCAGACTGCTCGGCGCCGCGGCTGCAGCAACACGACGGCGAATGCGCGATGACGGCGCACCGCCGTGGGCGACGACCGCCGTGCGGAAGCCCGCCTCCGCGATTATGACGGGGGGCGCTGGCGCTCGGCGGCGCGGCACCCCCGCGGCGCGGGCGCCGCGCGCGGCGTTGGGGCCACCTCGCCCGCAAAGGCCGCCGACCCTGCGAACGCGCAGATAACGCCTCCCGTTTTCGGGGCGGCCGATCCGAATGAATTAAGCGCCGTGCGCGCCCGCGGTTAGCCCATCGACCCGAGACTACCCAACGCGCGCGCTTCCCGCCCGCTGCCGAACACGATGCACCCCGCAATTCAATGCATCGGCCGCGCGTGGGCAGCCGACGGTAGCAGCCGCCGCAGCAAAAGCTTGCTTGCCGCGCAGAGGGCGCGGCCCTTGCTCCAGGACAATGTACCTTCCCAGAGTTGCCATGGCCCTCGCCGCGACTGCGACCGCCCAGGGAGCACCTCATTGCGCGCCCGCCCTCGGCGCCGCGAGGCATCATTCTGCGCGAGCAACTGGGGGCAGTCACTGCAGCAATTGCCGAGCGCAGAATGAAGCGGCGAAGTTCTGCAACGACACACGTTGGCGCCAACCCGCGGGCCCGCGCGCGCTGGGCGCGACGCGCGACGATGCGTTGCGCGGCTCGGCTGCTGAGCGGCGCCGACAATGGCAACGCGCAGCGCCCGCTCGAGCGGCACCGGCCGAGCCTGCGAATTCGGACAGCGCACGGCAACGCGCCGCTGCAAAACCGTCGCCGATGAATCTCATCGAGCGCACCGCCGCGCCGCTGGGCGAATCCCCGCGTTGATACCGCGCGACGCAGCCGCCGTCGCGCAACCCGATGTCAATAAGTCGGTCCGCCGCTCCAGAACTCCAGGAGGGGCAAGAAACGCGCCGAGTGGACCAATGCTGCAAGGAACACGCCCGCGGTCCGCCAGCGAGGCGGCCCGAAGACAAAGTCCCCGACGAGATGGCCTCGCAATGGTTCCCCGACGCTGAAATCGGCGGTCAGCGACCTCGCCACAAATCCAAAGAAGACCCCGACGCATTGATGCACCGCTTCAAGGTAGCACAAGGGAGGCGGTCCCAGGTGTTGACGACTGGCTGCGGGTGACGCTGCGCCGATGGCCTCGGGCCCGCAGGACGTACGCGGCAACCCGAAGGGCGCTCGTCCGACCCCGACGCGCGCGCGGGCGGACTTCGACACCCCGATGCGCGCGACGGGGCGACGACCGATGCAACAGCTGGCCGACAGGCCTTGTGATTGACGGCGGGCCTCCTCGGAGGGCGCAGCAGCGCTGCCGATTGCCCGAACGCTGGCAGGCAGGCGGGCTGAGCGGTGCTGACTGCGGCGCAGAAGCGGCCGCCTCCGCGACGCTGCGCATCTCTGCGACAAGCCTGCACTTGCATTGCCCGTCTGCCCCCGTTCGTCACCCCCCGCCCTCGCCATCCGCGCGCCTCCACCGTCCGTCTCAATGCCGTGCGCGCTTGACACTACCCCGCATCTGGGCGCAAGAGTGTCTGGGGCCGCCTGGCCCATCGCGTTGACCACGGCCCGCGCATATACGGGCGGCGAGGAGGAGGAGGAGGAGGGAGAGGAAGCGGGGGGGAGGAGGGGGGGGAGGGAGGGGGGGTAGGTGCGATGAATAACAAAAGGCGGAGGAAGGGGGGGGAGGAGAAGGAACGACAGCAGCAACAGCGCCAGCAAGATAAGGAAGAGGCGGAGGAAGAGGAGAGCTTACGTGTTTAATCACATCAACCCTCTGGGCGTGGGTGGTCTAGTAAGGTTTCTTCTCAAACCCGTGTCTTCCTCCTCGGGGGTGGGTTTGCCCAGCCCTCTATCCTGCCCCCCTGGGCCTGGACAGGGTGATTTTCGCTGGTAGGTGGGGCGCCTGAGATGGCCCAAGGCTGCCCCGAGAGCGCCTTGCAGAGCCCAAGGTGAGCCCCAAGATGGCTGAATATAACATAAGATGCCACGAGATGGCTCTGAGGATGCCCCAAGAGGGCCCAATACTGCCCCAATACGGCTCCAAGGGGCCTCCGAGACATCGAAGGATGCATCCAAGCAGCCAAGCTCTTTCAACAATCCAAGGGAAACAACTGATCCTTGCGTTCTGGCACGTTCGCCGTCGCTGGCCTCCCGAGGCCCCAACATGGCTCCAAGATGGCCCAATGTGGCCCCGAGAGGGGCCGCAGAGAGCCCAATGACGGCCCCAAGAATGCCCGCGGGTGCTCCAAGAGGGCCCAAGATGGGCCATGGGATTTTAGGTGGCTCAAGAGGTGGGGTGGGGTGGGGTTGGGGGTGGGGGGGGGGGGGGGGGGGGGGGGGGGGGGGGAGGGGGGGGGGGGGGGGTGGGGGGGGGGGGGGGGCGCGAACTGAAGAACCCTAAATTATTTGATCGGCCCCAGCCGATATGGCCCAAAGAGCGCACCCAATGCTGCCCAAGAACGCCCCAAGAGGGCCTCAAGAGGCGCCCAGGCGGCCCTAGGATGCGCCCAACATGCATCCAAGAGGCCACCACCCCCGAGGGATCCCAAAGAGGCACATAGGCTCCCTGAGGCACCCAATATGATCCAAGTTGGCGCACTCCCCTGGGGGATCGTGGGAGCGCGGAGGAGGGTGCAGGTGCAGTGCGAGGAGCTCGCGCTGCGTGGCCGTCCATACTTCAGCACTGCGCCGCTGGCTCTTATGACCGCCATCCTCCTCCTCATGCTTATCATTAGCCTTCTTCTCCCCCTCATCCGCATGTTCACCATCCCCCCTCATTCCTCCCCCAACTCCCGCTCGCCTCCCTCGCCCTCATCCGCGTTATCCATATCCGCCTCCTCCTCCCCCCCCTCACCAGCCTCCTCATCCAAACCCCCTTCTTGGGGCACAACGGACTCGCCAACCCGTTGTCTCATTGCATGCCCCCCCCCCACTTCCTAGATCAAGGCGCAAGGCCTGCGCATCGTCTCTGGATGGGCTGACGGGGACACGCAAAACGTCAAAAAAATTGAGAACCCGCGGTCCGCTCGGATTTCCTCGAGGGCGTCGCTCAGCGCCAGCAGCGCCTCGAGCTCGAGGCTAGCGTCCACGTCGTCCAAGGCGTGGAGCCCGTCCTTGTCGGGCTCGTCGCCGTCCTCGTCGTCACCCTGGCCATGCTCATCGCCAAGCTCGTCACCAGGCCCGCCGCCAACACCATGATCCCCATCATGCCCTGGGGCAGCAGGGTCGTCGTCTGGTCGTCGGTCAGCCCGCCTCCGCGTCAATCTCGGCCAATACTGGCGCTCGTCGGTGCCCGCGACGTCAACGACCTCGAAGTAGGCAGGGATGAAGTGTGCGCACGGCTGGCCGCTCTCGTAAATCTGATACGCGCGCAGTGTCCAAGTTCTGTGGTCCAGCTCAAGGTCGGCAAGCGGCGAGTAGAAGTCGTTGTACCTCCCAGTCGCCTGCAATGGGCCGCAATGCCGATTACACCTGAATAACAATTAAACTACGTTGCTCGGTCGATTTTGAATGAGACAAAAAATGTGCATCACAACACGCCTTGAATTAGAATATATGGCTGGTTACCCCGACGGGTCGCCTTCATGGGGATGCCAGGGCCGTACACGAGGCCCTCGCCGTCGCGCCGCCTCTCGACCAGGTGCCACGACGGCCTGTAAGGGCTCAGGTACATCATGCCAATGTGCATCCACACGTCGCCCTGGCGCTGGGGAGGCGGCGGCGCCCCGACAGGCGCAGCAGCAACATGATCGTCATCGACGTCGCTCCTTGTCCACGTCAGTCTGCACACAAGCTTGCCATCGAGCAACGTGCGGCGAGCCGCCGACTTGGCTTTAACCATCGGCTTCAGGGCCGTGAGCAAGTTCTTGCAAAACTTATCCAGGTTCTCACCCTCCTCCGAACACAAGCACACGGCAGCAAGCTGGCACTTCGAAGGTCGAAGGTGGGCTGCATCGTCTTCTCCGCCACCGCAGTGCGCAGGGCCTGGAGAGATCGGCCACGTCTTCATCGTCCAATCGCTCTGCAAAGCGGACGAGAGGTTCGAGTCCGTGGCGTGGCGGGACGCCCAAGCCGCAATCTTGCCACCGACCAGGCCGCTGTCGGGGTTGTAGTCGAAGAGGGGGCACGGAGAATGCGGGATGGCCACGAGCGCCTCCGCAAACGTCGACAGCTCGGGGGCGGCAGCCATAAACTTCGCCACCTGGCGGTTGCCCACGTCCTGGGTAAACGTGGCCAGCGCGCAGTCGATCAGCGCGTCCTCTCTGGCAGACGCCTCGCCAGACGAGCGGGCGCCTGCCCGCGCAAGGCTCTGCACCAACTGAACCGACTGGAAAAAATCACCAGGCCCGTCAGCACTTTCTTGGAGTACAGCGGCGGAGAGCTGGGCAACCAATGCCTCGTCCGAGAGCTGGTCGCGTCCTCTATCGGCCACGGCACGTCTCAGCTTTCGCCGCGCAGCCTTCTGAGCCTTCCCGAACGTCACCCCGAAGGCAGACTTTGTGGCTGACATGCCCCTGCCCGCAATGGTGGCCAGCCGACCAAGCTCGACGTAGTACGCCTTTGCCTCTGGCGAGAGCGTTGTACTCCGCCGATAGCCTCCCCCAGTCAGGTCGCCCCCCAGGCGCGTGATGCACGCTAGCGTAGGCACGACAACCACCGCCTGAGCACTTCTTAACTTTAGGCGCCCTCGACCTAGCTGTAGTAACTTGTTTTGATGTGGCTGCTGGCTTCACGAACTTCCCCTTCGTCTTCTCGATGCGCCTCCTTCTCACGTTGTCACAGACCCACTTCGAACAGAGAATTGGCCCCTCCACAGAATGCGTCTGGACACTCATGCCCACCAGCAGTCTGCGTATCGTAGCGTGCATGGTCTCAATCTTGCTGATGTCCTTCTTGATGAGAAGCGCCAACAGTCTGAGCTGCATCAGCACATCGGCGCCGTCGGAGTCCTCATCCCATTGCTGAAGCATGGCGTAGCTCCACTCGCCCAAGACACAACGAGGCTCGTGCTTGAAAACGTCGTACAATGTAGGGTCCGATAGTAACATGAAGAGTCGGTTGTGGAAACGGCGATGCGGCAGTCGGAGAAGCTCAGCCACTGCGCACCCAATGCGAGCGAGCATCCGCAGGATCAAAGACCGACCTGCAACTGATTGCCACTCACGCGGCAGATGTACCCACGGTTCAGGCGTAAACATCAAACTACGCAGGCGCATGTCGAGGTCGTCCTCTAGCTTCATCTCTGCTGCAATGGCGATGCGGTGCTCGCGCGGCTTACCGCCAGCGGCGTGGCTGAAGGAGTTCGCCACCTCGGTCGCTCGTTGCTGCCGTTCCCACTTGTCACTCGCCAGCCTGAAGTGTGCTGCTAATAATATTCGCAATGGTTCCATGCACGTCCGAGCAATCATGAGTAGACCGAGGGGCTCTGACTCCACGAACGCCTCGCCTAACCTCCTGTGGCGGGCTTGCGCCTCCTGCCACGTCTCAGTCGGGGCCTCGGCTGCGTTGCCTCCGACCTCGCCCGCGGGCGCGGGAACTGGCCGATCCGCGTCCATGATGGCTGGGACTGTGTCGGGCGCTGCCAGAGGCAATATTGCAGCTGCACCAGCCTCGCCCGCGGCGCGGACAGGCCTGTTCGCCTTGGCAAAAGTCTGGAGAAACGCTTTATACACCCTCCCAAGGATGCCAGAACACGCTGCGAGTATTCCAATCTCGTCGGTGCTGATGTCACAACCTGTCCACCTGTGGCGCGGGTACGTGCTGTAAGACCTGTGAGCAAGCGCCACAAGGAGCCCGTCTTGTACCAAATAAACGATATCTCCCCTGTTTGGTTGAGACCCGTGGGCGCAATAGAACTCGATGTTATCAAGGTTTCTCCAATCTCCTGGCACGCACTTGGTTAGCAAGGCCCGTCGCTCGGCTGCCCGAGGCCCCCTGGCCAAGAAGAGCGAGAGGATCACTTTGCGATATTCGACAGCGTCTGGCGGCGGCTCACCAAATTTGATCAATAACCTATTGTCTATATCGGCTGCCAAGCATTTCCTGAATCTCCGCATGTTGTCACCGCCACCGAGCGACAAGCTCACGTTGATAAGGCCAGAAATGAAATCCTCGGTCAATGCAAAAGTCTTGGTGTGCACGGCAGAAACAATATGTACATCGCATGGCTCATGGAGGCCGAACCACGGAGTCGGCGACGTGTTGTTGCGGTGCTTGGTCATGCGAGCCTCCGCCACTAAGTTTGCACCATACTTGTCGGTCGTAGCATGGCGAACTTTATTACTAAATGCGTGGGTGGCGTCTGTCACGGCGTCGGTGGTCAAAAGTGCTGCATACAGGGATTCTGCAGTGGTAGAGCTCAAGATCTGGATCCAATTCACAGTCTCGCCGATGATCATCACGTATGGGTTATCAGAAGACCCAGGTGGTAGATCGAACTTCAAGAGGACGCCCCACCGAGACTCAGTTTGAAACAACTTGCCAACCGTCGTATCTTTAGCAAGAGTACTTGTGCGGGCTCGCATCATCGCCTTCCCAGGCGCTCTGCTCCAGAAAAGACGGACTTCCTGCTCTCTCGTCGTAAGCCGCATTGGCGTCTCATCGTACCTGGCGGAATCGATGAACAGGAGCTTGGAGACTGGCATCTTCGCGATCGCAGCAACAAGCCGATGGACCGCCACGCGGTAACAAGCTGATACGCACGAGGCAATCAAAGGCAAAGACGAATTCAATTTCCATCGCGGCACGTTTGCCGCATGTCCTGACTGTAGCTTGCACCTCGTGGACAACGGGTCGACGCACTGCTCGCGAACAATGGCGAGCACGTCGGCGTCCAAGTCATCGTCGGGCGCCACCGAAACCAATCGTCCAGCCACGTGTAGCGCCCAAGTCAAAGGAGAGGTCTGGAACGGTGCCCTGGGCTCGCACAGTAGCCTGAACGTCTCTTGCGTCAGTTCGGGAGGCCGCGGCGCCACGACCGCTGGCACCAAGGCGCCTGCTGCTGCGCCAGGCCCGAGCACGGCGGCGTCGGCGCGCTGCCGCCGACGCTCTGTCAACACATCGCGGGCGCGGGCCAAGTTCGCAAGGCGAGCGTCCATGGACCTGGGCAATGCGAGCGCGGTGGTCTTACTGAAATACTCAGCTACGTCGCCCTCCACTTCCGCATCATCCTCCTCTTCTCCACCTCTTCTGCCCCTCATCCCCCTTATTATCACCCTCGTCCTCCTCGTGATCCCCCCCCCACTCCCCCCCCTCATCACCCCCGCCCCCCCCCTGCTCCCCACCGTCCCCCATCCCCCTACTCCTCCCCCTCGCTGGCCTCTGTGTTTGAAGAGCCACATAGCACGAGTATCTCAGCTCAACCACCACCGACGCATCCCGACTGGAGCTCAAGCTCCAGGAAGCCAAAATGGCTGCAAGCACGGGTGACGGCGGAAGGGCGGGGGAGGGTGGGTGAATTCCCCATCTGCGTGCGTCCTTCGCCTTCTTTCCCACCAAGATCCCCCTCCGCCCACCCCCCTTCCCCCTGTTCACGCGATGGCCTCGGGCCAAGGGGGGCGAGGGAGGGATTGGGATATGATTGCTGAGCCCCCGCTCCCCGCGGAGACCCCCCATGGCAATGCACCCCCACGGCGGACGGGCCTGCCCTCGGGAAGGCGCCCCTCGGTGAAGGCATTCTGCGTTCACGGTGAGATTGTGACGATGTCTCCAACGCATTAATGGTTTCGGGCGTTTGGGCTCGTCGGCCTGGGCGGGACCGCCTGGAAACGAATGGGGGGGGGGGGGGCGGGGGGGAGGGGGCGGCAATGGGGGGCGCCCCTTATTAACCCCAAATTCTGGCCACGACGACGAAGGCCCCCCAGGAGGGGCAGCGAACGCATAACAACTAGACCTCCGAGGGTCTGCGCCCTCAGCCCGCCCCGGCTAAACTCGGCACAGTGGCCGCGACGCAGCGCGGAGCTGCGGGAGGTAAGCCCGCGGGCGATCCCTGGCCCGACGCCCCCACCCCCGCCCCCACCCCCCCTCCCCCAAAAAATATGGCCCAACACCCGTGGGTTTGCAGGGCCGCCGAAAGGGAATAACACGCAGTCGGGCGCGGGTTTGTCCAGCGACTTCTTGGCCAATGCAAGCACTGCAGAGCTTTTACGAGGCGTGAGTAGTCCTACGCCCTACGCGCCCAATCGCGCCTGCAGGGATAGGCGTTCTCTTTCAGACAAAGGTAGACTGGACCAACCCTAGTGCATATGCGTGCACCCCAAATCGGTGCGTTTGGATTCACGAGTCGGCAACAACGAGCACGCGTACCACGCGCGCGGCACCGCGACCCCGATGATCAAGCCCCCAGGGGGGCGGAATTCTCGGGGAGGGTGGCTGGGCCCGCGGGGAGGAAACCTACCATAATGCCCCTCTGGGAAAACGCATTGGCCCCCCCAGTGACCGTTGCGCCACTGGCGACGAAACCCTGACGGCTCCCTTATGGGTGCTCGAGTGCCGCGCCTGCTACATCGCAATGGACACTTTGCCACCGAAAGAAACACGTCTAGGGATTTTTTCTGTGACGGCCGATCCCGCCTTATCAACCTGTGCCCTTTTCCCTGATTTCATGTAACGCACAGGAATGCCCGTGTCGGAAGAGGAAAAGGGCAATTCTATCAACGCGCAAACGTATGGTTGGCCGAAATTGTGGCTGGAATTCGGGCCGCGCGTTTTTTTCAGCGGCCCCCTCGTCGGCGCGCTGAGTTCTTAAGTGTTTGCTGGGCTGTTTTTCCTTATTTTTTCGATGGTGCGAAGAGGTATGTGGATTCAGGTTTCATTTGGTGTTTTCAATGATTTTGCGCCCTCCGATACCTCCCGAGTGCCTCCATTGCCCCCACGATCACAAGCCTGGGCTTGGGACGACCAGGGCCAGGGCCGGGTCCCGAGCCGGGCCCCAGGAGGAGGAGGAGGAGGAGGCGGAGGAGGAGGCGGAGGAGGAGGAGGAGGAGGACCTCCCCCCCGCGCGCGGGGCCTCCCTCGGGACCTCCCCGAAACGCCCCCCGGTACCCCCCCAAGGGGCCAAAGGGGACGGCCATCTGGCGTCCCTTCGAGTCAATTGCGGCGACGTTGTTTGATTTTTGTTCGGCTGGGTCGCTTGCGGGGAAGGTCCCAAGGAAAACGGGGGAGCGACAAACGACGACGACGACGGCTACGACGACGACGACGACGAATGAAACGGAAAAGCGTCTATCACACGCCGACGGGTCGGCGGATTCTGCTTGTTGCCTGTGTGTAGTGTGTTTCAGCGTTAGAACTGTAGGTATGTGTATGTCTTTCCGGACACCTTGGAGACGTCTGGAGGCCTCGACCCCTTTGCCCCCATGCTCTCCATGCTCCCTCCTTCTCCATTCCCCCTCTGGGAGCCCCCTTTCTCAACCAACCACTATCCTTCCTCCCTCCTCCTGGCTTCCGGCCTGGCGCTAACCACGAAGGGTCTTGAATGCTGCTGGCCCCCCCCCCCTGAGCTCTCGGCTGGCCTTTAAACTCGGCCTTCTTCTGCTCGCCCTTCATCACCACCACCAGGGATCCTCATTTCATCCTCATCCTCCCCCCGATCATCAGCGGTGGTCGCCGCTGGGGAACAATTCTTTTCCCAGCATTGTTGGGGTAAATTGTTACGGGAGGTATATAACGATCGTTCGCGGTTACTTTCTTTTCCTCTTTCTCATCTTTCGTCCATGCATTCATCCTCGTGTATTATTTGTCCTTCTTTTCCCCCTCTCGACCCCTCCGTCCTCCATCGCCCCCCCCCTGCTCCTTGCCCTCCTCTCCCGTCCATCCTTTCCCTCATACTGGTAGGAGCAAGAGATGGAACAGATGCTTTACCCTTGAACCACATTGCTTACGGATCGCAATTCTCAATGCTGAACCCACACACGTTCAAGTGCCTTCCCGAAACACCCGTCAAGCTTTCTCAATCGTTTCAGCGTCTCCCCTGCATGGTAGACCGAAGCCCCAAAGTAGTACGAACCAGTGCAGCAGTAATGGTCGTGAATCCCTCGAGCATCCGTCCTTGTGACGGCCGCAGGCAAGCGTCAAACAAGAGAAGGACACTTAGCAGCATCACTGGAAGACTTGAAGACAGGCGTACTGCTTGAGTGACCGGCCGGCGTTGATGAGAGAGGGAGGGGAGAGGAGACACCACCGCCACCACCACCACCACCGAGCACCACTCAAGCAGTGGCGAAGCGTCCTGGCTCGTCTAGAGGCCCACCAAATAATGTTCTAATAACCTTATGTGGTCTGCACGACATGTTTTCAGAACATGTCTGGCCGAGACTGCATTGGTTCAACGCATCGGATTATGTTTTAAGATCAGTGGTTTTGTTATTGGAATATGTTCAGGTTCTAAGAACAGTTCGTGGTAGGTCTATAGGAATGCCGGGACGGTCGGTCCCTGCTCAAACCAACAGGTCTGGATCCAGGAACCCGCTCCAGGAAAGCAAGCACGGTTTTCCCCTCGAGCTCCGCGCGAGAGGCAGTCTGCGAGCGACTCTCCAGCTCCGTAGAGGCTCTCCTTCGCTTAACCTCTTCCATCACATGTCTCAGCATCAGTCGCCCGTCAGGTGCAGAGCTGCGTTTCACCGGGTGGGTATAACATCTTGCATTGTGACCCGATCGTCTCCCTGAGCTCGTCCGCTGAGACGCTCGAGCCCAGAGGAATGGGGCCAGGCCCAACCGCCAACCGGCCTTCAGAGCGTGCGTCGGCTGCGCCTCCATCCGCTCCCCGAACCGCCACCAGGCTGGGTTCGGCACCCGCCCCCGTGCCGTCGTTGGGCACATCCGCCGTGGATCCCACCCTGCCTGCGTCGAGAGCGAGCGCGATCGCTGGGGGCTCGCAGGCGCCAGGCCGCTGGCTTTCACTGGCTGCGGCGGGCACGCATGGCCTCCCAGCTGATCACGCTCCGCTGCCAACTGTGGGAGCAAGAGATGAAGCACATGTTTTACCCTTGAGCCACAGTGGTCACGGATCGCAGCTCACAGTGCTGAATCTCTACACGTTCGAGTGCCTTCCCGAGACATCACCGCAATGCTCGCGACAAGTCAAGAGCGTCTCCCTTTGCCCTCTTCCTTCCCCCTCTGCTCTTCTCGCGCTCCTCTCTTTCGGAATGGCCGCGCCTTCGCCCGGGACTCAGTGGTGGAAGGATCGCCCCCCGAAATGAGGAGGGGAGGTTGCAGCAGCAGGGTTGGGGAGGGATGGGTGGACGGAGTTGCCTGGGGGAAGGAGGATCAGGACGGGAAACAACACAGAGACACAATTAATCGTCGACTCCCAGGAAAACATGGAAACATATGTGAAGTGGGGTGGGAGACGAGAACCCAGAAAATACGAGAAAATAGGGGATCCTGTTATTTGTATATATTGATGTGTGTGCCCCAGGGCCCCTTCATAGGTGGAAGAGCGGACCAGGGACAGGCAAGGCGAGGCGCCCAGCTCGGGCCACTGAGGACAACCGGGATCCGCCACTATCTGTGAGGCCGAATGCAGGAGGAGGAGGGGGAGGAGGAGGAGGAGGAGGAGGAGGAGGAGGAGGAGGAGGAGGAGGAGGAGAGGAGGGGGAGGAGGAGGAGGAGGAGGGATGGAGGAGGGATGGAGGAGGAATAGAGGAGAAGGAGGAGGAGGAGGAGGAGGAGGAGGAGGAGGAGGAGGAAGCCATTTGGCCTCTTGCGGGCCAGCCGATCCCGATCGATCCATCGGGGTCGGTCGGCGCCTGTCGCCCGATCGATCGCGGTGGCAGGGCGCATCGCGCATCGGCCAGCCCCCGAGGCCGGGCTCACGCGCGCCGCGCGCCATCCTCTGCGGCAGGGGGCCACCCGTGCCTCCCTGTCCCCTGCCGCAGGCCGCGGCGCTCGCGGCCGCGCGGCGGCCCAGCGGCGGGACGCCGCGACATCGCCGAGGAGGAGGTCCAGAGGGCGCTGCACACCGCCGTGAGCGGCAGCAGAGAGCCCAGGACAGGTTCCTGCTCCGCCTGCGGGCAGCGGCCGAGCGCCTGGCCGCCCACCACTCTGCCCAGCCAGCGATGGCCCGAGACGGGAAGGGCAGAGGCAGTGGTGGCCGAGG